CAGCACATACCAGTTTGAGAAAAAACAGGATGTAAAGCACTTTGTTCTCAGGATTAAAAAAGTAAAAATATTTCTACTAAAGCTAGGGGAGAACAGGCTACGTTTTACCCATACACAAAATCCAGTACAATGACTAGGATGATCAAAATACTGCATGCACCACTGAAACATGAGTATTGATATTCTCATATAGTACTAAGATCCCTCCTTTATCCTGGCATTGCAAAAATGGAAGGAAAAACAAAAGATATGAGCGCTTTCTACTAGTGCACCAGCTAAATATCTTAGACATGAGAGTTGTTTTTCCCTCTCGACTTTCCATAGCATCATGCTGCAGAGTTTCATGTTGCCCCAGCTCAGCCTTCACACCATCCTTTCATCTTGATCTTGTACCAATGTACTGCCAAATGGTCAAACTGCACTGGCATTTGAGTTTGTTCTTACTAAATACTGTGGTACTGGAAAAACAGATGAAGGTGACACATTTCCAAGGACTGAGACACCTGTTGAGGGATCAGTCTCTAAAGGCCTCCTCCTCAGGAAGGCACTGAATGCCACCAACGGATTAATAGAGAAGGCTGCAGTAAATTAGTTCATCAAAAACCAACAAAAACAGCCAGAATATATGCAACCAAAAGAGGCATCCACTGAGGGGAAGAGAGGAAGCCTAAAGAGGCAGCAGAGATACTCTCTCTGACTTTAAGAGGACCACTTTTATCTTCCTCCTGGGATATACATTACCACACAGCATAACGAACTTCTGACCTGACTTTTCTCTTGATCCTACTGTGGCAAAGGCGCTAGTGGTTTTCAGATAAGGGCTTACGGATATGGGCATGGCAAGGTGACATGCATGGCTCTCACCTAGGTCACTAGATCATCCAAATGACCTTTACTTTGTGATAGGCCTCTGATTGCAATTCTCCTCTTATTCATAATTAAGGAAATTCTATTATACATTTCAGCGAAAATTACAGTTGTAGTACAAACCAGTTCAAAATTAATCTAAATATAATGGTAAAATTTCTCCTCTGTAATTGAATAATTACTGCAATACAACACTAGCAGGGCAAAGATCAGGAACATTTCATGGGATTATTACTCAGAAACAGGCATTTTAAAACTGTATTGCTCATCCATGCAACACTTCACAGAAACAAACCCTCTGCAAATAAAGAATATAGAGAAATTGAGCTTAGAATCATTAAAAACATTTTTAAAATGAAGAACCACATTATTACATATAATCATTTTCCTTTCATACTCATTTGTTTTAATCTATTCATGCTCCCTAGAAAACATCACACAATTTTATTCATATCATTGTTTTCTTTAAATATGTGCATTTCAGTAAATTACAGTTGCATGTATAAAATTAGTGAGTTAAAATGTTGGTCTGATGCTAGAACTGAGCAGTCATTTATTAAAAAAAAAAAAAAATTGCCTTGTTTTACTGTCTGTAAATTTTCTCTGGAAAGCTATGTTTTTTTTTTTTTCCAGTGCATTCATTATTCAGCATATTAACTGAATAGTTCTACAGAGACTTCTCCGCTTTTGAATCATTCACAGCCTGTTAGTTCCAATTATTTCACATTTGAAATTTGAACTCTAGTCCTCAGCTTTTATTGGACATAAAGTTTACATGAACTGATTCTGTTCTCCAGTTGAACAAATGTGACCAGATTGCAAAACAAATAAGTTTCACACACAACTTCTGCTGTTCATGTCAGTAGATCAACAAGAGTAAATTTCTTAGCTAGAATACAAGATTAATGTGAGCACAAGCTGAAAGTCAACCTAGCACAATTCCAAAGCAGCGGGCCCACCTTACAAAGGAAACCATTATTGCACTGCTCTCAGAATCCATGCAGTAAGTGAAGCACACACTGCCTCCTTTGCCAAGTCTACACAGTTATGTTTGCTTCTAGAAAGACTACTTTTTTTTAACATCTCCAGCAGAGCAGTTTTCCTAAGGTTTGCTGTACTTCAGAGCTGTCCCCCCAGGCTGTTACAAGGATGGGGTTATGGATCTGGAAAGCACGGTGCTCGTAAGGGCTGTGCTAACACCATGACACTGCTGGGACTCTGGGGCAATGCCCTGTCATTCTCTACTTGTGGGAGGCTTAGGAAAGTGGGGCTGACTGCAGCCTCCAGTCCTTTGTGGCCAGGTAACATAAAAATCAAGGTATTCATACAGCGGAGAGGGCAAGGGGAATGGATAACAGGCAACAGTAAATAAGAAACAAAAAATGAAACAGTTGAAAGCAATTTTATAAGGAGTGAGAAGTGCCCTAGAGTGGTCATTAACCACACTGCAAGGAAAGAGATATGTCAAAAAAAGGAGGAACATTTGCTGCAGATATTATGAGGTGGGAAGGATTGGAGGAGGCTGTTATTCTTGAAAGCATTTAATGAACTGGCAGATGGCCCTGTGGTCCGGACACAGGAAATACAAGTCCCATTCTGGCTGCAGACCTCCTGTGCGGGAGCAGAAGAGTCACACAGGTGTCTGAGATGACCAGCAGCAGGCCAGGGCACAGCTGGCAAAGAAGCATCAGGGTGCCCAGTGCCAGAGCAGCTATCAGAATTGATGGGGAACGTCCGTTCCAGCATGGGAATGCTTTCATGCTTTGCCTTGCATAAAGCCATCTGAAATGGGCAAGAACATCTGCTTTTGTTTTCACAGTAAAAGCTGACACTGGAGGACATACACACATTTTAGGAGGGGAGCACATTCTGGAGTGGAGTTCTTTGTAATACAAACAATACGAGACCATCCTGGAAACACTGTTATTTAGTGAAAACTTACTGTATTTAAGAGGACAAGTCAGACTGTGATGGTGGCAGGAGAAAGTGTGCTGAAATAACAGGGTGCCCCCTTGACAATGGGATAGCAAGGCAAATGAACCCAAGTGCACAGTGGATGGGCGGCTTCTGGTCAGCATTTGGTGGACAAAAGCTGTCAACTGTGGTCACTGCTTCTCTCTTTTGCCTCTGGGAACAGGAATTTGATTATCCCATTTCTCCTTCAGCAAAACAGCTCCCAAAGCAAGCTAGCCTTCACCTTCTCTCTGACCATCATAGAATCATAGAATGGCTTGTGTTGGAAGGGACTCCAGGGATCATGAAGTTTCAATCCCCCTGCAACAGGCAGAGCCACCAACCTCCAGATCTGGTACCAGACCAGGCTGCCCAGGGCCCTATCCAACCTGGCCTTGCACACTCTAGGGATGGAGCATCCACAGCCTCTCTGGGCAGCCTGTTCCAGCACCTCACCACTCTCTCTGTAAAGAACTTCCCCCTGATGTCCATTGTCTTTGTGTGTGTAAAGGCAGATATCATCAAATAACATCACAAAAAAAAGCTGTACTTAGGACTGGTGAGTGAGCCTTAATGGGAAACCAGGAAAATACTTCACCACAGCTAACACTGTTAGGAAAGAAGTTCCTAATAATGGATGTGCTTAAACATGAATGCAGCCTATTTATGTGTGATAGAACTGTTCAGTAGAAAGATGGAAGATCTCAGGTTTGCTGTCCTGGAATGTTTTACCCCAAACCAGCTGTCTAATCATTTACACAAAGTGGCAGAACATGACTTTGACTCACTGACTACAACTTCATCCAAGTCTAGCTACTCCTGGTCTAAAGCTACCTACGCTGACAGACTTTGTAGAAGATCTGTAATATGGACGCTTGACTAATTTTTAGAACATAAAAATGTTCTTTGTAAGACAATTTCTTAAAAGAGAAAAATACAGAAACTGTAAAAATACAGTTTCTATTCTCTTCAAAAATCATCCCAAGGAGTTAAAATCTGCAGCAAACACAAGGAACTGCTATTTCGAAGGAAGAGTACCACATGGAAATAGAACAATTCCAGAGACAGATTGATTTCTAAAAAATAAAAAGAAGAAAAAGAAACAAAATCTAAGTTTCTCCATGTAAATAAAGTATTAAAGTAGATCTTTCAAGATTAGAAATGGGTGAGTTATTGGAGAGGGCAGAAAACAGTGGAATGAAAATGAAACAACCTACAAAAAAAAAAACATATACGAATGCCTATATGAATAGCAGCAAGAATTACTATAACTTACTCATGCAGACTTTTTCTACCAAGAGCATTTGTCATCAAGAAAGCAAGTGTGGCTCACAATTACCATTGGAAATAACCAAAATACTCATTACAGAGTTTCCTGCATTGAAGCAGACAATTGAGAGTTAGCTAGTGAGCAAGATCTTGCATGACCAATTCCATTCAATTCAGTTCAGCTGGTTAAGCAAATTATAAAAGACAAATCAGATAAAGTATATATAAGCAATTTCTAGTTGCATGGTTGAAGGAAAAGCACAGCATATCAAATTGGTAACTTTTTCTTTTCCTGCTGAGTAGCTACTCTTACACAAAATATTTTCCATGGCATTCCCTCTTTCTATGAAAGGCAGGGGAACTCTCATGCTGCCATATCAACAACTGGGCTGTACTGCTGTGGTAACAGCAGCATCTAGAATTCCAAATAGGAAGTGGGAAAGTTTATATGACTATGAAAAAAAAACAACAAAAAAACACCTTAAAAAATATAATCATGAGGTTTTAATGAACTGTTTGACTAAAAAATAAAAAAGGTTGAGTAGTTAGGCCAAAATAAGCCCACTGAGGTCCTGAGCGTTGCAGTTTGCAAAAGCTTTAGCTTCCAATTTGCCATAATGACATAAAATTTTGTTTTAGAAGAATATGCTGCAAAGGCATTGTCTGAACCCCAACATGGGGGTATGTGAGCCACTGAACTGTTATTGTTTAGATTGCAACAACATTTGCAAAGTCCAGTTGTGGCCTCTGCTATGATAAATCTAGCAACATGGAAAAAAGAGGCAATTTCCAAACCCAAAGAGCCCATTGTTGCAATCCAGGGCAAATTGGGTGAAGGGTAAGCGGAGAGGAAGAGAGCACTACCTCAGAAATGTCTGGCTGGTGGTAACTGTTTGCCTTCCACCTTTCAGGATGGCCTGGGACTCGCTGTGTGGCAGGGACCTGCTGCGTCCCACAATAAGAAGAGCCTCAAGCATCGCACAGGGAGGGCAGAGGGGGGACACCCCATCCCTGGAGGAGCTGCAGCGCCTGCTGTGGACACGTGCGCGCCCTATGGGGCATGTGGATGAAGTCTGGCCAAACCTTTATGTGGGAGACCTGTAAGAGAGGGAAGGGCTGAAGGTGCTGATGAAATTCTTAGCCCCCACCTCATCCCTGCCTAAATCATCCTATCTTTTTAAAGAGAGAGCTAGGTATTAATTTGGAGACCCTTTGGAATAAGTCTTATTTTTGAGTGAGGCTGAACCTTGCTTAGGATACCACAGCACATAGGAAAAGCAACTTGAGCGTTCCTTTCCAGGAGAATACTACCCTTCCTAATTTCTCCCCCTGCATTAGCACAGGAGACCCATGGTGCGACAGCCTGGTGGGGTCACAGCATCACTACTACAGCGCTCACACCAGAGCAATCTCAAACACGACACCCTGGTACTTGCTTCCCATTTCAGATGACATCAGTCCCAGAACTGATGGATGCTCAGCAGAGGTGACTTGGTGAGAAAACAAATCAGAAAACTTTCAGCTTGTACACAAATAAACCTTACCCCCAACCTTCTCAGTTGAGAAGAATCTAAGCAGATGTTTCATGGAAAGTGTAGGAAATCTAAGAGCCAGTTTCTTAAAAGTCCAATTCTGTCCTGAAATATTTTTGTAAACACTTTATATCTAATCATTTTGTCAGGAAAAAAGCCTTTATAACTTTCTAACAAACTGCACCAGCAGCCGCGTGTTTTATGCTGCACCACAGTGCAGCAGGAGAATGAAAAACCCTTTTCTTCCTCCAGGTATGTTGCTCGTGACAAAGCACAGCTGAGCCAAATGGGCATTTCCCATGTTGTGAATGCTGCTGCTGGGCGCTTCCACCTCAACACTGGGCCCAAGTTCTACAGAGACCTTCCTGTGGATTACTATGGAGTAGAAGCAGAGGACAACCCGAACTTTGATCTCAGCATTTACTTCTACCCAGTTGCTCGATACATAAGAGCTGCACTGAATACCCCAAGAGGTAACCAGATCATCTATGCATATGACATACTTTCAGCATGCTTCTTAGTCCTGCTTGTTAACTTGCTCAACTTGGTCAAGCAGTACTCGGCATAAACTAACCACCTGCAGGTGGCTTTAAGAACCCCAAAACGAGCAAACACAAACCAAGCAGTCATCCCTGCCTCCCAAACTCCCACAGCAAGTCTTGCAAAGTTGATGACACCAGTTGTAAAGAGAAAATATGTAGCTTGTTACTGAAATCACTACCCCATATGGGGAAGAATAGAAATAAAGTCACACTGCTCTGGAAATTTATTTCTAGTCCTCTAGTACTGCTCTCATACTCTTAGAGATTCCTGCTCAGAAACAAATTAGTTACTGCCAGGATTCCTTCCAAGTTTTACAGGGACTTGGGGTAGGAAGTCCAGGCTGTGCTTTGAAGCAGAGCAGTTCATCAGACCAGAGCACAGGAATCTCTGAACTCAGTCACTCAGTCACCCTGAGCTGCTCCAGAGCAGCAGCTGCCACTGCCTCTGTGCTGTCCTACAGGGCACACTGCTCACCAGCCCGGTAACAGCTCCTGCTACAGCCTTGCCCTGGCCCATGCAAGTCCTCTAAGGCTAGAGGGCAGGCTGTCATATGGGTGGATTTTGCTTTGAATTTTTTGCTTGTTTCAAAAACTGCAATTGGTGTAAGCTTCCGACAGCTTATGTGTAATGCCTTTGTATTTGCACATGAAGGAAGAAAATGCTAAAATACAGTTGAACAGATGTTTTTTTTCACTGAAGATAAAAACTGGGAAGAGTGCACTGAATGAGCTTTCAGAGGGGTTTTTCCTGTGCCTCATGCTATTCAACATCTCTCTCAGCAAAAGACAACAGAATAGCAGACATTTACTACCTACGTGTGGATGTCCTGAGCTCTGGGAGGAGATGCATACATGTGATCTTGCCAAATTACTGATTTGTTTTAAAATAATAGCTGGAATCAGGTAAAAATATTGTAATGCTAACGATCTGCAGAATTCCTATGATCACAAACGAGGGAAGAACTTGCTAGGAAGCAAATTGGTAGAAGCGCACCTAAGCAACAGCACCAGTCAGGAGATTAACACCACACTGTTGCTAGGAAGTAAATTGGAGATAGGAAGATAACTGGAAAAATCCTTTGACTTGCTCAACACTGTCCAGGTACAATGCCAGAGGCCTGAAGCTGGTGGGAACCCTGAACGTAAAGGACAAAGGACTCTTCACAATAGAGTCACCTCTGTATCACAAAAATGCAGCTGCCCACTGAAAAGTGATTTATTAAGAGAGCACTTAGTTATGGCACACAGCAGGCTATTCTGCTGAAATACCAATGAGTGCCCTAAAATATTAACTACACAGCTTGGTGAGTGAGTAGATCTGATCAACGCACTTAGAGACCTACACTGTACAAACTGGGAAAGGAAGACATGGTTACAGAACCCAGTGCACTTCTGTGCTAGACACAGGAGTTTACTGCTGCTTGGAGGCCATAATCCATCCCAATAGAAAGCATTTGCCTTTGTGAAATTGAGGGCTGCATTTAGATTTCAAAACCACTAATGTACTTGGGAAACTTGGATCTGCACCCATGCCTATTACAGCATATACTATTTACAAGTGAAGTCATTATTGGTGGTGCTCCAGGGAAAAGTAAGATCCAAAATCTCTTCATTTGTGTGCAAAATGAAATAAAAAAAAAATTCCAAATGGACTGACAAAAGACAGAAAACAACAGATGAATCATGGTGGCCACAAAAGCAAACAAAAGCAGTGTTCTGCATACCCAAATACTAGAAGTTATCAGAACAAGTTAGTGCTCAAGGCGAACACAATGAACTCATCATCTCTTGAGTGACTATTTATCCCTACTCCCGCATTTTTAGATACTGCTTTACTGAACTCCATATGGAAGCAGGGTTCTGGGAATGGAGACAAGGTGAAATTCAATCATATACAGTCCAGCTGTTGCTGACATTCATCATTTCAAGGAAAGTGCAACAGTTTGGAAAATATATAAACAAGATGTTCTAAAAGCATAATTTCCCGAGGTACAGAAATTTAGCAGCTAAATATCCATGACCTGCGAAGGGATGAGACAAGGAGAGGATTGTTATTCACATCATTTAGAAGAAGGAAAAAAACCTGCATTTATTGTAAGCAGCGATGCTGAACACAAAATTATGCCAGGTGAAAAGAGGCCTGTTCATATTAAATTCAGGATGTAATGAGGTACTTCTGTTTGATTGAGAAGTCATTTAAGACTACTATCTATTTGTTCTAGATTTCTATTTTAACTAAACAGGTCTTTGGAGATACCAGTATCCATCTTGCCCCTTTGCAGATGCATCTGGGCAGTTAGCATTTTTTGGGAGTGCAGCTAAGCCTAAGCATAAATCAGCAGTTTGACAAAGTCGAGCAAAAGGGGAAGGAAATGTGAATTAAGTGCAGAGATGAAGGCATGCCATGACAGCTATCACACAAGCACTGTACAGAGAGAAAGATTCCCAAGCATAATTCCCAAGCTTATCATTTTCTTGCCCTCCAAACATGTTTAAAATGGGCAGATTAAAGCCATCCATTAACTTACTATAACGGTAAACTCTCTCCAAGGCATTTCCCTTCTTCCACATCACTGGAGCTAACTAACAGCCGAACTCCTTCACCTTCTTTATTGCTGTTGTCGTTTGTTGGCTGGGAAAAAAGCTGGACTGAGCAGAAAAGGGTCCTCTCTTGACTCTGCCACAGGGGTACCACAGGAATCACTTCATGCTGGCACTGCCCCTCAGCAGGTGCTCCTACATGTTCCACCAGGCCTGGGCAGAAACGGCACACTGCCACTTACAGCTCCCCTCAGACTTCTTCCTGTTCACAGCCATGAGAAAATGGATGCTTGATGAATCAAGAACTAGGCAATTGGTCATGCTCCTGGCTACAGCATGGTGGCACAACGTAGAAAGAGATGAGGGAACTGTGGTGGAGCTTGAAGAGCTGCTGCAAGTAGGCAGCGTGGTTCTGCTGGGCCCAATAGGGTGAGGGCAGCTGGGGCACACACCTGGGGTGATGGAGCTGGAGCCTGGTCTGGAGCCAAATCATATCCATCCTGCAAGGAAGCAAGGGCTAGTTCAGGACATTTAGCTCAGTTAATGATGAGTAGCACAAGAACAATAAGATATTATGTGTTTTAATGGCTAATTTGTTCAACTACATTGAATTTCCCAACTTGAATTTGGCCAACAAAGTTGAATTTGCAAACTTTATCCCTACTGCAAACCCTTTGATGTCAGCAGAGTTACAGCAGGCATGAGCTGGATACAATATCCATAATCCGTTGTTAAAAACCAAGTGTTATTGTTCTGCACAAATCCCAGCCAGATGACAGCCATTGTCTGCCTCTGCAAAGAGTAGCTTGAGACGCGCGGTGCCACGTTTCAAATAAGGATTGCAAGATTTAAGAATCCTGGAAGCTAAGTGCCCCCTCTTCTCCTCAATTAATCCCATTATTCCTAAGGGATCCTGTTACACGCTCGCTGAGACAAGGTTGCAACACAGCCCTCTCATGTGGGATTGGTCCAACTTCTCTTAGCACTCCATGTGCAAAACAAAGGCCGGGGAGGCAAAGCTGGAGGACCTCAGCTTGTGGCATAGATTCTGTGGGGCAGAAGATCTGGTTATAACCTCCCTGCCCACCCCACGACAGGGACAGGCATCACAATGGCCATTGTGAAGGCTGCTCACAGTTGCTCCCAGCAGTGCTTTCCAGGCCCTGCTCCAGCAGCCACCCAGGAGCCCAGCCTGGTGCTGCGATGGTGCAGGCAGCTGCTCCTGCAGGAGGCTCACACAGTGCTCCGGTGTGAGATGGCTGCAGTCAGATGTGCCTCGGGCATCGCTCAGGCACAGTGTATTATGGTGGTTCGGAGTGCCTCTTAACCCAGGTACAGACAGGGACAGGGTCTGAGCCTGTAAACAGAACTGAATAGCAACACGGCTTTTGTTTCCTGACTCAACGTTAACATTCAATTTGTTCGCTACAAATAATCACATACTAAATTCAAATCTGCTTTCATTAGAGCAATTTTACATTAATTAAATCATTTCACACGACCGATTTATCTGCAACAAACAGTCATTTTATTCTCAGTGTACCAGCATTTCTCATAACCTCCCTGTGTGTTGAAGCAAAGACTAACAATGTGAAATACATATTGCACATGTAAAACAGACATAATACCTGCACCCCCATGGGAACCAGCGTACTGGAGAGCCATGGAGACTGGGCATGAGGTCAACTGTTGCAGCTTGTTTGGACTCTCGATGAGACATCTTTTAAAACAAGCTGCTCAGCTAGGACACATTTGAAGTGCAGACAACCTAGACAAGCAGGGAAGAAAATTTATATATGCTCTTACTCCCCACTTCCTCGTCTCGCACACGGTTAGGATTTAAACCAGCAGAGAGCAAAGCCAGCTGTACAAGCTGGTCCCTGGAATTTGTTCTGCTCTCTGTGTCCTCAGCAAAAACACAGTGGACAATGTTCAGTGGCAGCACCTCTACCTGTGCTCAGCTTAGTTTTCAGATCCAGACTGTAGATGGGGCCGAGGTCTTCCCAAGACAGAATACTCCTTATGGGTGAAAAAAAGAGACCCAAGAAACACTTTGCAGAAAGGAGGCTCAGAACAGCAAGTCTTATCCAGTGTTTACAATTGAGTTTCAAACTACTTAGTGCACCAAACTCAAATTCATCATCAAGGCCATCTCCATGATTTTGTGTGCTTCAGTGTACCCTGCTTCCAGGTGTGGTTCAAACCATAAATATTTATTTTTCTTTCACTCGTAGAGTGCTGGTAGCTTACAAATTGTCAAACAACAAAAAGGTGTTTCCAATTCCAAGAAAATTTTTCAGAACATGCTGTTCTTTGGTTTTCATTGCCTTGGTTGCACAGTAGGACAAGTGTCTGGGTTTTCCCAGTCACTGCCACTGCTTTCCAGCCAGGCCTGCAAACTACTTAAGCACAGATTTTCCCAAAAACCTGTTGGACTTAGCCCTATTTCCAATATTTCCCAAAGAGAAGCTGTGTTTGGGACTCTTTTATATCTTCTGAAATTCTCAGACCTGAGTTATTTTGGTCTGAAGTGCTTCTTCTGAAGATAACATAGAATGCATGTCCCGCATGATAGCTGGCAAGGCTAGAGACAGTGCAGCACATTGAAAATAACATCTAAACGAAAATATAGATTAGCATCAGCATTCAGTAAGAGGTGCAAAGCATTTCCCCTCATCCCCACAAAAGTAGACTTCCAAGAGTGCCCATTTGGTTAGTGCAAGTGAGAGAGACGTAATTTACCTTGAACAACAATGTTAGGTTGTTACAAAGAATATGAATAAATTCTGAGAACCTCTATCTGAATGGGAAAATGCAAACAAAAAAATCACTCAATCTTCTAATTCTGCAGAATTTTACGTTACGTTAGAAGATTTCATCATTCCTCAAAAGGTTTCAATGCCCAGTCCACCTCTGCTGTCACTATTTTCACTGCTTGTTTAGAAACTATATTTGTCTCTTTATTTCTGCTGAAGACACGTCTATATTTAGGGATTGAGCTCAGATTTCTCATGCCAGGATAACGAAGGGTGTGCAGTGTCACACACACTGCAGAATCAACACCTCTCTGAACCTGCTGGCCAGAGCAGGTTTTTACAACACATGCTCACACTCTCTGAGCATGTGGCTCTGTGATCATCATTAGTCAGAACCAGAGCAGTTGCTAAATAAGTACTCTGCCACAAACAAAACAGGATTTAAGATGAAAAGCTGTGCACAAAGTACCCAGAATTAAAACCAGGGGAGATGGGGGCAATCAGTTTGAGGTTTCCAGCTGGATCTAATGTCATCACCTAACAAGGATGTTTTTGTCTCACCTGAAGCTTCACCAGCTAGTATGTCACTCCCAAAACAAGGAGTGGTCAAGCAGGGACACCAGGCTAGGCTCAGGAGCCAGGGACACATCTTACAGAGCAAAGAGAGGGAACTCACATAGCTTCACTGCTCACACTGTTGACTCAAGTCCCACTGAAGCAGGCTGCAAAGCTCTGGGCGCTTTTCTCTGCCATCTCCACATGCCACCAGGCTGAGGGCTAAGCCCAAAACTCGCAGTGCAATCATGAACGCTATGATACATTTATGCATTGTCCCCAGCCATTAAAAGCCCCACTCTCCTTTCCACAGGCAAAGTACTGGTCCACTGTGCGATGGGAATCAGTCGATCTGCAACTCTTGTCCTCGCCTTCCTAATGATCTGCGAGGACATGTCTCTTGCCGACGCGATTCAGGCTGTGCGCTCCCACAGAGGGATCTGCCCCAACTCTGGCTTCCTGGAGCAGCTGCGAGAGCTGGACCTGAGGCTGAGGAAGGAGAAGCGCGCAGGAGCTGGGATCTGCTAGCACAGGGCTGGCCAGTAGCAGGAGCACAACCAGCCGCCAGGCTCAAACTGAGGCCAGCGCGTGGACACTGCAGGCACACTGTTGCAGCTGCACTGAGAAACTCTGCTGGGGAGAGCCGATTGGAGTTTGCAATGTATTTTTTGGATAAGCCCACTAATTGAAAGAAACTGAAATAAAGAAGGATTCAGACCGGCAATTTCACCCACCTGGGCCTGCTTTTTTAACAACCTGCTGTGCAGGGTACAGGCAGCAGTTGGGTTTTCAAGCCGAATTAAAAGGCAGCACAGCCAACTTGAGGAGAGACTTTTTACTTGCTTGTAATTGCATTTATACGGCAGGAGGAAAAATGGTTAAACTGGTTAAAAAAAAAAAAAGAAAGAAAAGAAACCATGAGGTTTTCAAGCAGTCTTTAACCTTTCACATGCAGCTGGCACGGGGCAGGACTTAGGGTTTGGTGAGCTGACATGGTGACATGGGCTAGGCCAGGGGCTCTCCCAAAAACAAAGGGCTTGGCCTGGGACCATCACAGCTCCTCCCAGCTTCAAACTTATGGAGTGAGGGATCCCCACACTCCTCAGGAGCCAGCAGGAAGGTGCCAACTGAACACTACACAGCAAGGCACTGCTATCGGCCACAGGACTGCACAGCTGCGAAGGGACATGGCAGGGGGCACACGTGGGCACTCTGCCAGGTGGGAACATCCCACTCCTGGTCATCCCACAGCTCACATTGCATTGCCACGATTCCCTGCTGCGATAGAAAGCCAGAACCTAGTGTCATCGTGTCAGAGCAAAAATGAGCAATGTCTCTAACAAACCCGAAGTAACAGCTCCGCATTTCGATTACTCTTTTACGCCCAATTGGTCACATTTAATCTTGTGAAGAACTCGAAGCAGATATTTGCTTCAGTGCAATTACAGCCACATACAGAACATTGGCAAATGCAAACAATATAGAATTTCCACTTGACGGCAGATTAATTTGGTGTGATGTTTTCCCTTGAGAGGTCTTAAAGGCTTGCAGTTCTGGAAGTAACATGCAGTTCATATTTATAGCACTAGGGATGGTGAATGGAGAGAGACACATATACTCATTTTGAACTGAAGTTTCTTTTGCCTCCATACATAAAAAAAATTAACTGAGCACAGCACACTTCAAATGCATTTCTCTCATAATGCAATATGGAAACATGATTTCCCTGCAGAGCCTACAGAGAAATTCAGGTGGTGTTTCCGCTTCCATAAATACAGTAAGTAAAAAGCAACCGATGCTAGAGGCTAATTTTCCTCCCAGGGAGCAGGGATGGCTCGTCCCTCAGAATGGGTCCCATCCTTTGAGACTGGAGTAAGTGGCCAGAAGGGAGGTCACAGCTAATGATGGAAAAATCAGTGAAGTTATGACTTTCACAGGCCTCCCACTGGCTGCTGCAGACAGAGGTTGGGTTTCAGTGCGCCTGGTGGCTGGCTGCTCCTGGCACCTGGGTCTGCTCCGCCAAGCTCTGCTGGGGGACCCTTGGTTACCACAGCCCGTGCTGAAGCTGTTTTGTGAGCTGTCTTTTTAGTTGCCTTGCTAACCACTGCCTTCAGCTCTCTGTAACACTGGCAACGCTGAGCCAAATGGCACAACATGAAAGTACAAGGGGTGTGTGAAACACAGCAGTCCCAAATCTCCGTGCACTGAGCCCATCAGGACAGGTCATAATTCCCAGTGAGCTGCATGTCTGGAAACATCTGTGGTTGCAGTGTGAAATTTAAAATGAACAGCTCCTCAGAGAGACTGAACCTAAATTTACCTCAGCTGAGGCCTGGTAGCCATTATGGGGCTGCTTCAGCTGGCTGGAGAGTGCCTCAGATGCCCTGCCATGCACGGCATGCAGATGGAGGCAGGGCACTGGCAAGGCAGGAGAACCGAGTGAGCATCACTGTCACAGGTGTGCAGGGAAAGCCTGCTCCTCTGGGAGGGCAAAGAAAAAAAAGAACAGGAGGCAGGAGGTTAAAACACTGAACCAAAGACAATAACAGGCTTCCAGCCCCAGGGAAAAGTTTTCCCTTTCTGCAAGAGCCTGGACCAGTGACAGCACTGCTGTGAAGCCCAGAGGGTGGTAAGCATGTCCCCATCTTCTACGGGTTTCTCTCTTCCCGAGCAGATGAGAACATCTGAGCACTCCATCACCTCTCCTCATATACACAGCTCCATCAAGGGTTGCAGCAGCACCAAGGTGCCAGGTTCAGCAGCCAGTGTCAGCTCAACAACCATCATCAGCTGCACACTGAAGTATATTATTGCCCCTGTGCTCTAGTTAAGCAGAAGTCTCTTAAATTTATAGCTGGAACCAAGACAAAGAAAACACAAACAATATTGGGTGTGGTTATAGATATACCATGTGCTGCAACTTCCAGTTCCAGAGTTGCTGATTCATTGCAAGCATCTAGTCCTAGCTAGCAGCCAGGAGCCTGGAGGGCAACTGCCAGGTTTACTGCCAAGGAGCCAGCAGAGAGAAATCCCTCTTCCACTCTGCAGGTGTACATCCTCCTCAATGCCAGCTAGAACCACACTTGTCCAGAGCACTACCTAAATGTTCCCTGCCCCAAACTGCGTCATTAGATACTGCAGGTGGAAGAAGTGGTCAGATCAGCAGACTGGACATATCAACGGGCAGAGTGATATTTGTGCCATCATTTCTTCCATGCCTACTCCTCAGCCAGTGCAGAGCAAGTGTTGAGGGCTATTTACAAACCCCTCCACTCCATGTGCCAATGAGCAGCCCCCAGCTCTGCAGTGGGGCTGGTGCCTGCCCACCAGGCAGCCCATGAAGAACAATGGTGGTCCTAGCCCCCTGTAACAGATAACCTGGAGTTTGCCTGAGCTCCAGCAGGTTGTTTGGGGAAAAGCACAGCAGGATTGCTTTCCAGCCTCCAGAATTGGCACGAAAGTATGAGAACAGTTTTCTCAGTTAAGATATCTTGCCTTCTGCAGCTTTTCCTCCCAGACTTTCAGCAATGATAAATACAGAGAGTATTGCTGCGGGCATGTCTGCACTGCATTATTTATCCTTCGGATTTGCACTTAGGGTTTTATTTGTAAAAGGAAAGTGGGACCATAAATCTGCTCTGCAAAGAGCCAGAAGAAGAGAGGATAGAAATTTTCAACAAGTTGTGGGGAAGGAGATGCTGCCAAGGACAGGTTTCTCATGGAAAGACGTGCCAGATAGGATATTGTCCAGGTACAATCAGTGGTGACAGCTCAGAGTGTCAGCCTTTTCCTTGCAGGTGCAAGGAAATTCATGTTTCAAACGACACCACTTCGTTCCTCGTGAATCAGTGGCTACCATTTCTGTTTTAACTCTGGCACTGCACACCTAGACTAGGAGACTTTTTGCTGCCTGCTGCTGGGATGAGATCTGCCTGGCTTCTAACTGCCCCTCCAGAACTGCAGAACACCGTCAAGCCCACTTGCCAGATGCTATCTTCCTCCTATTTTCCATTTCATGTTTCCTGATCACAAGATTGAGCTACATCTTGCTGTGGAGAGAGGCTTCAAAATAGCTCGTGCTTAGCAAATGTGCTTCATTGTCTGACATCCAAGGGGTATATGTAACTCCTGAAGCCAAATCAAGCAGTAATCTATGTCCTGCAAGGCTTTCAACAGTTAAGCTTTCTTGAGGCTACAATTATTTTGCTTAGAAACTAGACCCTTGATCTGTTGCAGGAGGCTGCAGTTCTAATAAAGTCAAACAATTTGCGCTTTGCAATGTACTATTTGCGGTACAAGCATCACTGAGTTATACTGCTCCCCTCACTGCTGCCTCCTGGAATCTCATCTGTTTATACACCATGAGCACTTTCAGGAAGCGCTCCTAAAAATACCCAGAGATGTTAGCAGAGGATATGGGTCTGGTTCTCCTCCTCCTGCTTCTGCCTCCAGAACATCCTTCCGTCACCCTCATGCACAACAATCCTGCCTATTCAAGCTACCTTATTCCTGTGTTAGCCTCTTAACAACCCTTTTCCTTGTTTCTTCACCAGTAGCCATTCTGCATACTGACACTGAGCACCTTGTTGTAGCCACGTGGTGTCCCACCTTTCTCATTTTCTCACTACATTTGATCACTACATTAAATTCTCAAATTCTTGGGTACACCTGTATGACTGCCCAAACTTCAGACAATGAGACGCTGCCAAGTCAGGGCAAAAATAGCATCAGAAGAATAACATCTTTTTATTACTGTCTAAAGCAGCATTTGAAAACTGCAAAAACTGCAAAACATGATGCAGTACTCTCCATAAACCAACTTTTAAAACCACTCTCAGAGAAGTTACCCTGGAGATGAAGCATCTCCCAGCGGAAATACCCTTGCAAATAAAAACATTTCCATAGTAGTAGAAAATACAATGTAGAAAATCTGCACAGCAAAATTCTACACTATTGAAAAAAAAAGTTACTAAACTTCAGGTAACATACAAAAGCAGATCTGGGATTCAACCCACATTTCTAAGCAGCTGATCTCTCCACTTCCTAAGATGTGGGCAAAGCCTCCCCTCACACAAATACTACCCGTCAAGGGATGGGTTTTCTACCTGCTGTGGTCTGGTGCTATCGGTTGCCAACCATCCTCATGAGCATAGACATCTTCCAGTGCATTCAGTGGGCAGAAAGCATGGACTGATTCACAATACCATAAAGGATTGTTGTCCAGGTCACCCACCTGTCACCAATGATTTGAAAACATACAGAAGAGAAGACAGACTCTACAAACAAAAGATCAATCTGTTTTTGTTGCTTGCTTGGTAGTAGGCAAAATCTACTCTTGTGGTTATGTCCTCTGTCTTCTGAAGAACAGCAGTGTTCTGCAAGTCCCTTTTTATGAAAACAAAGCATCTAAGTCATTTAATTCCTGAATATTGTAATTCACCAGTTCACTTAATGTTAAATATCAACAATGAGCTATTCACAAAAATTTACAACCAAAATGATTCACCAAATCCCTTCAGATTACATGTTGAGAATCAACAGTTTTCAGAAGAGAAATACAAACCCTGAGAAGCACAGAACTTCAAGAAGTGAAATATTGATATTTTTCCACCAAAACATTTAGGTTGCTTACAAAAATAAATAAATAAATAAATTAGAACTTCACAGAAACCCCACCCATCATCGGAAAACTATCAGCCTGCAAAAAGCCAGCAAGGAATTATTTCCTCAGCTCTGGTGACAATTGGCTGTTACTAGAGTTATTCTGACACATTGTTTTGGAGAACATCTGTTTCCACTCTGACTCCTTTAACTTTCAGATGTG